TTAGAAGAGGAAGAGACATCAGGTGTCATGCGCACAGAGAAAAGGCCACATGAGGACACAGTGAGAAGTCGGCTGTCTACAAGCCAAAGAGAGAGGCCTCAGGAGAAACCAGCCCTGCCGATACCTTGATCTTGAACTTCCAGCCTCCAGAACTGTGAGAAAATAAATTTCTCTCATTTAAATCACCCAGTCTCTGTTACTTTGTTATGGTAGTGCTAACACATTAATATATTCTCTAATTCTGTATTGCAGAAAATTTAATAGAGCCTTCAAGAAGATAAAATGCATTGTGAATCCCCCAAACAGAGATAGGGTATCCAGGGTTTCCGAAGTCTGGCTAACTCTGGGGTTACAGGTGTTCCCTTCCCCACAGAGCACAGTAGACGTGATTTTACTAGCAGGAACTATGAGGGGTGTGTGTGTGTGTGTGTGCGTGTGTGTGTGTGTAATCTAGATCCAGACAGTGTGAGGTCATCCAGGAGCAACATGAACCAACAGGAAAAAATAGCTGCTACTCTTTATTCACATCCTCTTGTCCCATGATTGGAACTCTTTAGCCTCAGTGATTCAAAGAAAATTGAATAGAACCAAAGCATGGGATCTCCGGATGTACTGACTCCCTGTTCCCCTGAGACGCAGGGAAGAAGGAAGGTGCTGCCAGACACAAGATCAAAATGCAAATATCCAGATCTCTAGGTCACTGCGCCCCAATGCACAAAAGGGCATTATCACAGTGGGGGCTACATCCAAAGAACAAAGAAAAGAGGGAAAAGAAAAGAGCTGGAGTGTGAAGGAGCCACATAGGGAAGGGAGAAGAAGACAGACAAAAAGGCAGAGCTGGTCCAGCCAAATCTAGCCACTGACTTAAAAACTATCAAAAGAAGGCCTTGAGGATAGTGGATGGAGGATGTGCTGGATGCCAAGAAGGAAGGAGCCTGGGAGTTGTGGGTGGGCTAGTACAGCAATTAGGAGGGAAAAACAGAATTAAGTAGTGAAGTTTCAACTTCTTCTTCCCCCCACCCCCATGTAATCCTCAGCTTTATTTTTCAGTTGTTCACATTAGTTGTCCAAGGAGGAATCTTTAACTTGAAGCACCAATCTAGAGTAACCTCACTAGATGTGGGGGAAGCAGAAAACACAAAGTGGAGAAGGGACTGTTATAGCATTGTACCTTAAATGGGAGGAGCAGAGGGGGACGCTTGTCACCTGACTCTCCATCATCCCCTCTCCCCACCGGGACCTTCCCTCTTTCCAGATGATCCTCACGCATGAAAATGCCATGCACTCTGACCCAGTGCTCCGCCGCCTCTGCCTATTCATTTGAAATATCAGCTGTCCTTCCTGACTGCTCCAATTCAGCCAGTTATACTTCTATTATTCCAATTTCCAATGCGTCTCCAAATCTACTTCTTAGATTTAGATTAAAAGGCAATACACCAGAGGATTACAAAGCATTGACTCTTAATCTTAAACTAGTCATTCGTTTAAGTCCCTATTGTCTCAGCTAAAAAACAGGGCAAGCAACCACAACTACCTCATAAGATTTTTCCAGATCGTAAATGAGATAATGCACACAGCAGGTGTAGCACTGTTCTAGCACATAGTAAGTGCTCAAAATATGGTTAATTTTCTTATTATAACTTTCCCTTTCCCTACAACCATTATTCTCTACCTGGATTACTGTCCAGCCGTGGTCCTGGTTCTCCTATTTCCCTCCAGCTAACTGACCCAGGAACTCTTCATTCAGACACTGCTCCAATTCATTTCTCCCCCCCTTCTCTGACCTTCTAATGGGTCACCTTTCTCTTCCCTGTGGCATCCTAAATCCAAAGGGAAGAAATCCCCAATACTCTCAAACTTTTCTCTCTCATTTCATTTTTACGTTATGCAGCATTAATTCTATCCCGCCTTCCCTGGAGTGGAACCATGGTCATAGCAATCTTCTCTAACAGGCCTCAAGTTTTCCCTCCCTTGAGGGAATGTAAGGAGGAATAAACAAACTGCCCTCAGTCTAGAATGGACTGCCTTTTTATCCTCACAGGCTTCACCTTTCATCCCTGAAGGATCCTCCATAATTTGTGACTCGTGCAGCTTGGAAATTTCCTCTCCGTGTAAACAGTTGCCAAAACCCAAAGCAACCCACACCTGATCCCTTGACCTCACTTTTCCTCACCTTTTTGAATCCAAAAACCTTCATCTCCACCCATCCTTCATCTGCTTTATCTTTGGATACACCCTGTGGATCATTATCTCAGCTCCACCTCTGAGAAATTAAATCTGACACTCTGCCTACTAGTCACATAAACAAGTGTTCATATTCCCCACACCTACTATTACTACTAAGGCCATATTTTCCCTGAACTTTGACTTCTAAATTCCTAATTGCTCACACCTTGCATAGTCAATCAGAACCTTCTGGAACACTTGACTCTCTTCCAAGCACTCCTCAAGTCTCTGATGTACATACTTTCTATCTATAAAATCACTTTTTTTTCCATTTCTCACTCAGTGTTAAAACATATTTTGGGAGAAATATTCAGCATGATACTGATTGAACCTGCAGAAATCTAGTGCTGATTTTGTCTAGTGGTCATTGAATTTTATAGCCAAATTTTATAACAAAATTTTATATTTGTTGACTATCTGACATGCACCCATTGATGTCTGTGCCAAGCCTTCTCCATCTTCTCCAGCTTCCAGATCAACCCAATTCTTCCACTGCAAAAGGCAACCCCAGAGCTTAGCAGCCAGAGCTAGCTTTACAGGGGGTTACCCTTTACTTTCTTCCTCTTCCTTTGAAAATATCTCTGTCTCTACGTTCATCTACTCTTCTCCGTATCCTGTGTCAGAAGAAATGGTATTCACCTTGGGCTCTTAATTTTCTACTTTTCTATACTTCTCTAATTAGCCACCCTCTCTCATGTATCTTAAATTTCTTCTTATTCCTTTTAGTTTCAAGACGTGCTCAGTCTATCCTAGACCTTGCTGAAGGCTTAGCTTCTTCCATCCCCCTCCTCTCTTCGACTATCAAACATCTAAAATAATTACAACCCTATCCTTCCACTTCCTCCTGACCATCCTTTGACCCCATTCCCACTCCTCTTTGCTAAAATTGCATTTTCAAACTGCAACAGACACCTCTTCTTGAAACATAATGGCTTTTTCTCAGTATTCATTCTCTTCAAACTTTCATAGCAAGCAATAAAACTTATAATTAACTCTCTTTTTAGGACGTTCACTTCCCTTCTTTTCTGAACTCAGCATAGTCTCCTCTGTTAATTGGTATCATGATCTTAGGAGGATTATTTAAATCCTCTGAGCCTCAACTTACTCACTGGTAAAATTAGGGAAGTAAAAATTCCTTCCTCAATGAGTTGTCATGAAGATCACATTCCATATCATTAGCTACCTTATATCAAGCTCTAATTGTGGTTTTCACACTCTGATAAACGTGTAAATACACACACCAAAGATTATATATATGTATAATCTCATTTAACACTCAAAACCAATCTGTGAGGTAAATATTATTTCTACGTCACAGCTAAGGAAACTAAAATATCCAGAGCTTAACCTATACACTCAAATTCACACAGTTAACATTTATTGAAAACAAGATTCCTAATAAGATCCATTGGACTCAATGCCCATATTCTTTACTACTAGATTATGTTGCTTCCCAAACAGATGTAAAAGTTGAAATTTTAGGGTGTCATGCAATGTCATTTATTATTAACTTATTATCTTTTGTAGATGCTGTGTTTGAGAACGTACAAAATTAAACCTGCCAAGCGCACGACAGTAGAGCAGAGTCTATTGCCTTCCCCCAGCCGTACATGCGTACGTCCTTAAGCTCAATAGATAAACAACAGCCATTTGGACAACTGTGCTTGGACAATACAGTTTACAATCTGATGTCAGCAGGACTCTTGGCTCATAATTAATAATAATAACAATCACAATAACAGTTGCTTGCACTGCACTTTAGAATAGACTTTTACGTAAATGACTCCAATTACGTGAATTCTATTGCGTCTAGCAATAGGTTCCGCTTGACAGGGGATGAAACTAAGGCTCTCAGGTGGTTTCTGAGTCATTTGCCAACCATTTCAAGTTCTCCCCCTTCTGGTCCTCAAGGGACAAGGTAAGATCATACTCTGTATCCTCTCTGGTTGGGTCAGGCAACACAAGCGTGAGGGAAAGCGACAGTGGGATCACTTCTGAGATGGAATATTTCATTGCTGAAAAGGGAAATCCTGAAGAATGCATTTTTCACTTCACCTTGACAATGAACAATATTCCAGATAGTGACTACTCTGCCCAATGGGATCTGCTGAAGGCAATGCAACACCATCAGCTGATCACCATACATGTGTAGCTTGAGTCACAAATAAACTTGCATTCTTTTAAGTCACAGAAATCTTGGGATTATATGTTAATACAATACAACCAGGTCTTCTTGACTGATACAGGTTCATGGCACATAAATGACTTACCCAAGTTCACACAACTAGAAAATATCAATGCTTTCCTTTGAGCTTCATAAATGCTAAGGTCACTGTTGCTTCCATTAGGTCCCAGCTTGCTTCATAGGCTCAATACCTCAAAAATAAAACACTATTTTCCCAGGAGCCAAGATACAAATGTAAGTACAATCTGTCTAATTCGGTTTAATATCATCCATTTTGGTGAAATAAAAAAAAGTTTTATATTTTCACTTATTTAATAACTAGGCCAAGCAGCCTGTACTTAATCTCTTCTGCTATTTAAAGTTTAGAATTCTAAGTAACAGTCACCACTTCTGGGGCAGATGGAAAAATACTTCTCACCTCAAATAATTAATTTGTTAGTTAGATTGGAAGTAGCAATTAAGTGACAAAGACTGCAACACCACCCAGGGTGTGACATTGTGCTTTCAGAGCCTCTTAGAGACAATACTGACTCTGGATGACCTCACAGGAAAGGCGGAGAAACCAAGCATTGCCATATAAACATGACCCCTTCCTAGGGCTAATGCAGCTGTTGTGACAGCCCTGAGCAGCCTCTGTCATCTCCACCATGAAGATCGTTGGGGGTCTCCTTCTGCTCTGCACAGTGGCCCATTTCTGCAGCTGCTCAGGTGAGTTACGGGCAGATAGTGCCCAGCACAGCCATCAAGCTTGTTTTCCCAAGTAACCTCTCCTGGGATGTGAACAACTTAGCATGTAAGAAAAAGTACATTTAAAATGTACTGCTTTTATAGTAGAAAAAACCATGGCCTGGGAAGGGAGAATCTGATGGTCCTGGCTGGAGCTGGGGTCTAGTGTATTCCCTTTCAAGGATTTTTATTTCCATCTTTGGAGCAAAAATATGAATTAAATTCTTCACAAGTCTACCTTTTCATAATGACACTGGAAGTTGCCGGGGTTACTAGATACAATTCCTCAGTGCAAAGCTGCAGAAAAACTTGGATGTCTCTCCAATTCAATCCAGGAGAATCAAAATAAAACACAATTCTCCATGCCCAGGAGTCAGCAATTAGACTTTTATATGGTGAAAAATTACTTAAATAAGATTCTAACACTTGAAAAACATTCCGCTACATTCTTTTATATCAATTAGAAGTGAAAGAATATCAAAGATGGTGCTTCAAGCTCTTCGGAGTGGTGACTGCAATACTTCCTGTTGCTCTCTGACTTTGGCCCATGATCAAAGACATGATGAGCTCCAGAAGCATCCCATGGGCAATAAAGGGAGGAAATTTGGATAATTATCTGGAATGAACCAAGGGCTTATCTAACCCATTGGCCATTTGGCTTCCTCAGCAAATAGCTGGAATTTTGTGTAAGGGTGGGATGTGGGCTGAGACTCATTGCCAGAGGAACTACAGGGTCTTGATCTATAGAACCAAATTTATGTTAATTAATGAGAATTCAAGATTTTGCTTGATTTCTAACATTTCCATCTGTATCTATCTTTCAGAAGCTGCTAGTCTGTCTTTAACAACAGTGAGTATATTGAATTACATTTTAATTTCGTTTCCTATTGACTGTCGTTTAGTCAACAAATACTTATGAAATACATATGTAGGATTAATTCAGTATCTTTAGCAGGGTAAAAGGGGAAGGCAGACACAGATGAAGAAATTGCCTCCAGAGGCAGTTGAAGAAATATACATGTAAATCACAATAGCCTAAAAAAAATATTCCAGAGTTAAAGGAGAGAGAGATGACTTCCAGCTGAGAGGTTGGTGAAGTCTCCATGGAAGGGACAGCATGTGAGAGGCAGGACGAGTTTACTTGGTTAATTTCACAGGCTCTGGCTTCAAATCCCAGCCCCACTACTCACTAGCTTTTACACTTTACAACTTATGTACAACTATATATACAAATTCTCTCTCTTCGAGCCTAAATTTCCCTCATCTGTAAAGAGTAGAACCTATCCTATTCAACTGTTCCAAAGATTAAACAAAGAAAATTCATGTTAGATTTAAGTTTAATGCCTGGTATAGAAATGATCAGGAAATGTGAACTGTACTAGTAATAACAGAAGTCGTGCTGGTAGTACTAGCATGTGTCATAGTAGTAATATTATTACTAGTAGAAGTGGACATAGCAGCATCAGAATAGCTGTCTGAGCTGGGACTGCCAGGATGGTATTTTGCTTCCAGTGCAATAGAGGCCAGGATAGCCTAGCATGGGGGCTAAGAGAAAAGCAGGCCATTCTCTTGTGTCTGCCACAGGTGGACTGCAGCATTTACAAGAAGTACCCAGTGGTGGCCATCCCCTGCCCCATCACATACCTGCCTGTTTGTGGTTCTGACTACATCACCTATGGGAATGAATGCCATTTGTGTACTGAGAGCTTGTGAGTACATTATGGGAAGAAAAAAGAAGCTGAAGCCAGCGTCCTCCTCTGCAATCCTCTCTTCTTTCCATGAGCCTGGCTTAACTCTCTATAGGCTGTACTTATTCCCACCCAGAAGCAGCTGGTAGAGACCGAAAACTGAATGCCTCACAGTCACACCAGGGTTGGGCCACCTGCTCTGCCAGCTTAGACTGATCCCTCCATGACAGAATCTCCAATTACTGTCTGTCAATTGAGAGAGTGCAATAAGACCATGAGTTTTCAAATCAGCGTCTTAGGAGCCCAGAATTTCTGTATAGGCAAGTCGGGAGTCACCGAAGAGATTTAAAGGGATCGTTCGGAGTAGTCTCTAACTTCAAGTTCAGCTTTTGCCTGTCTTAATTAGTAGGGTTCCACACAAGGTCTTATTTGAAGGAAGGGTCCTGAACCCTACAAAAAAAATCATTGCAAACTACTACCTGACTTCTAGAAGACTCAATGCCACAATACAGCTTGATTCTTAAGCAAGCTCTGGCTAGAGGGCCTTTATCCTCCTCAATTTCCTAGAAGCTCTAAAAATCTGTGGCCTTAGAGGGATAGGAAGGACTAGGCTCCCACAAAGATTTTTTTTTCTTTTATCTAAAATAAATGGATGCAATTTGTCAGTACTTGGACCAGAATCACATGGATGTGTTTTGTTTAAATTTTTTTTTTTTTTGACCTGCACAGTGTTTTTCAAGACAATATAACTGGGCAGATATCACTTCTCTGGTGAAAAATAGGCAGCTTATCATTTCTTGTCTTACACCAAGTCCACTTTGCTCATTGTTATTTCAGAGAATAACTTCTTTTTCACAAAAAAGAAGGAACTTTCATTTCACAAAAGGGAAGATTACCTAACATGCACACACTGGGCCCTTGGTCTAGAGCTAACTTGTGTTCAAGGACACTGAAGGGGAGTATGGCAGAAGTTCTCCTCACTAATGCAGGATCCAGCTTCATCACAGGCCTGGTTGACCAGGAAAGGCTGAGGAGCAGGCTGCCTGAACCTCCCTTGCCAGAAACCCTTCTTCTTTGTTGTCTTCAGATACTGGGTGGTGGGCCCAGGCTCTGGGATCGTGGAAGCAGCAGGTTTGGCAGAAGGATTACTGGACTAGGGAGGTTCTGCTTCTGCCTCTGCCAGAAACTGCCTGAGCAAGGACGTTCCTTTTCAGCGACTCAATTTCCTCATCCGTAAAATGAGAGTCTGCCTCATAATCTCGATAGTTCCCTTCAGCTCTATTATTATATAAAGTTTCCTCTTGTGTTAATGAGTCTTTGTTAACTGTGTCTTCCTGTAGGAAAAGCAATGGGAAGATTCAGTTTCTTCATGAAGGAAGATGTTAACTCCTCCATAGACATGGATATAGAGTGATGATACCCTCGTTGTCATCTTCATCATCCCAGGCGCCGGCTGCCTTTTCCCTCGTGTTGGCTGAGGTTCTGTGAGGGGGGCAGGGACAGATTTGGAGTCATCTTCATTGAGTGGAGAAGGTTGTTGTGCCCTTCTTCAAACTCATGCCTCACTGACTGACTGGCATTTTTGTTTTTGCACCTCAATAAAATATTCTCCCCAGAGAGTTTATCTTTACTTTTGCTTGTTTTTGTTTCTTAGATCAGGGTGTATTATCTCAGTTTACAAAGAAAACTGAGGAGCATATAAATCTTGTTGTTCAGGAGAATGTTGTGTATGAGGAATACCAAGTGGCTTCCAAGAAACACATGCATGCACACACACAAATACACACACACATGCACACACACAGCAATATCAATGAATCCCTCACCCTCACCTGGAGTCTTTACTTTCCTTAATCCTAACTACCCCTGGGAACTAGTCTATGGATCATACTGGTCCTTTAGGTTGATCTCTTCCAAAGTTCCTTAAAAGGGGACTTCCTTCATTGCAACATGTCATCCCCAGAGGGGAGATTTTCCTGCCCATTTCTTTCTACAAGCATGGCAAAATTTCTCTTCTCTTGCCTCTCCCCTTGCTACCCGCCTGCTGTAGCCTTAACAGAACATCCCTGATACTGATACTACATTGCTTTAGATCCTTTCTAAGATTCGCCGTTCATCCCTGTAAAATGTTGATACCAAGAAAACATTGACAGTATTGGTAAATTGTACATTTTTGTTTTAAATACAGAGATACATTATTCATTCTTAATGATGGAGCTAGAGTTCCTTCTATAGAGGATGCTTACGTGACCACAATACTTTGGGGCTGCTTCTCTTAATAGGCATAGCTCACAAGAAATTAGTAACCCAGATTGGGCCTTGGCACACTTCCATGCCACTCATTTTCTCCTCCTCATGTTCACTTCTCCCCTCACTTGCTTCAGAACCATTCGTGGCCCGGAGATTACAGAGGATAGCCCATCCCATGCACAGGCTGCCCCAAAGATACAAAGAGTCCTGTGGAAATCTTATCTCATAGACTCAAGGAGAGAGAGGGAATCCATAGTTGTGGTGACTGCCCCTTTTCCATCTCCATAAAAATGAGTACAAAAAGGCTCATAAACAGTTGGATCATGCCTTTATTTATATTCTTTTGCTAGAGTTGTATACAATCACATAATTGCAGATGCTGTTCCTGTGATCATGACACAGCTAACATGGTCAGGATGACGGGGATAATGTGGGTCTGAATGAGAGTCCAGTTCAAGGTCAAGTTCAAAGCCAAGGTCAAGCTAGATCATGGTCAAGACAACTATGGAAACTGTAAGGAAGAACAAGGACAAGGAAATATCTTAGACAAACAGAGCTACTGAAGTGAAAGTAGCAGACAAGGAGAAGTCACGATCTGGAAAGTGAAGGAGCCTAGAATAGGTAGTCAAATGGCCTTGGTGGTTTAGCTCTCTTCAGCTGCTACCCATTTTTCAGCTGCTCTCATTTCCCAATTCTGAGCTCCCATCCGCACTGGTTTGTTCATCAACTCTTCTCTCCTGAGTTACTCACACCAGCTCCTGTGGGTGGAGCCATTTCCCCTCACCTGAATTGCCCATAACCCCTTGGTTTTCCCAGTCTACTATGCTCTTCTCATCATGTTAGTCCCTCTCACCCTCTTATCTCTTCAGCTTCTCTTATCTTCCCTTTTCCCTGTTTTAATTTGTCCCTGCATCTAATACTGTTTGCCTTATTTTTAACAAACACCCGCATTTTTCTGGTGCTCCTCATCAATCTTTCGTACCTATCCTCAGGTGTTTCTATCTTAGGTGCCTTGATTTCCATGTTGCTCCATTTGCCTAACTTCCTCCTTTCTCCTCTATTTCCCTCAAACTTTTGGCTGCCTCCATCATTCTTATTCTTCCTCTGACCTCATTCGCTTCTCCTCAGCTGACCTGAACCCTAAGAAGCTCATTTCTCTGTGTACATGAAAGCTCTTTCTCCTTGTGGTTCGATTGTAATAGGCATAACGATAGTGGCATTGGCATACCCCTGTACTCTGAGCTCATCTTTGCCCCTGTGTGTGGTACAAATGGAAAAACCTATGACAATCCTTGCCAACTGTGCATGAAGATTAGGTAAAGATGTCAATGAAACCATGACACAAAATATGGGCAAAATACTCACCTCTACTTAGAATTCCTGATTGTCAGGGATGGAAGAAAACCGGTCAATAGCCTCATTTTATGGATGGAAGCACTGAACTCCAAAAATTGGAAATGCCTCATTGCTCACAGGACAAGAAGCCAGGTCTGGTACTCCTAATCCAGGGCGCAAAAAGTGTTTCCAGAATTTCATCCATCACATCTCATTACTCCTGGGAATCAAACTTCTACTACAAAATGACCCAGTACATAACACCTGTAAAGCTTTATAGTTCACAAAATACTTTCATACTCCCTGTCTCATTCAATCCTCACATAATGTCATAATGTAAACATTTATCAGCCTCATGTTTCAGATGAGATAAAGGAAGCACCTATTGGGGCACATGGCAGGCCATCCCAAAATATCCCACAGTGGCATATAGACTATTTTGAATTAAAGTTACTTAAGCAGCAGCCAATGAAAAAAAAAAAAAAAGGCATTTTGACCCTCTGCTCTGTTCCCCCTGAAAGCAGGAAATAAATCTCCCCCGTGACGGGTGTTCTCCCTGCATCCTTATCACAGAGCTAGGGGATTCGGGGCCGAGAATCTTCAGACACAAACCTCGCTAATTTACTACCTCAAGTCTAAACTCAGCTTCAATTCCTCACTAATTATGTGTCTCAAACCTAAGTTTCTTTGTTCTGTCAATCCTCACCAATTTATTGTTTCTTCATGTAAAGGATATATAACTTCCTGCTTTGTTCCCTTTTTGGGCATCATTTCTCTATGATCTCCAATATTTACGTATTAAGTTGAGTTTTTCTCTTGTTAATCAGGTCTTTTGTCAGCTGTATTATTAGTACAGCCATAAGAACATGTGAAGGGTAGCAGGGGGAATCTTCCCCTCCCTGACACTAACAAAGGATAAAACTGCAGAACTGTAACTGATAGATGGTTCCGCTGGTTCAGAGTCTAACCAATGTTTGTTCTATACATTGTACTGTATAAGGAAGCTTAGGAAACATCTAGCTTCATTGCAGACCTGAGCAGCCTCAGTTCTTGAGTCTGTATTCTATCCAAAGCAAATACCAGGAGTTTATAATGCTGCCCCTTTTCTTCCAACATTTACCAAAACTCATTACCTAAAAGTGATTTCTGGTCTTTCTGAAATAGAAGTCTAGGTTTGGCCTACAAGTGACACATCCCCAGATTCCTTTTAATATTTATAAATGATGTTTAAAAGTAGTTATTGCTGGGGCCATCCCTGTGCCATAGTGGTTAAGTTCATGTGCTCTGCTTCAGCAACCCAGAGTTTAGCGGTTCTGACCTTGGGTGTAGACCTACACACTGCTCTTCAAGCCATGCTGTGGCCATGTCCCACATACAAAATAGAGGAAGACTGGGACAGATGTTAGCTCAGAGCCAATCTTCCTCACCAAAAAAAAAAAAGAAAAGAAAAGAAAATAGTTATTGCTCTTCAAATTTTAGAATCAACCTATAGTCAAACTATAGAATAATGAACTATGGTATTCGGAACAGAACATATATATTTTTGATAGAATGTAAAAATAAAAGTAGAGGTGACAAATCTTTAGATAGAAAAGCTGATTGAGAGAAGTGTACAGAGGCAGATAAAGTTCTTATAGAGTTATGAGATGCTGTCTAATGATGAGGATAATAGAAGTGGTGACTAAGATATGTTATTTAAAGTGATAAAAGTAACATGCAAACTTTTTAAAAAGTCATACATATCAAAAATTTGGAAGAGGAAAAAATGTGAAGATAATGTAAATTAACAATTTTTCCTCCATTGATAGAAGTCAATAAATATTTTAGTTAGTAAATTAAGAAATAGAGTATAACTATATTATTGAGAATTATGATGGTAATAACCTTAAAAGAGAAATGGTTAAAATTAGCTCCCACTGAAGTGTGATATTGGCAATGAAGCCCCTTGTTTTTCACCATAAGCTGTCTAACGTCAATGGAATTATACATTTCTTACTATGGCATACGTTTTAATTTTCTTTTCTTCTCCTTTTTTCCTATCCAGGAAAAGTAAATCTTCACCGCAAGGGAAGCTGTTAAATCACCATGAATATAAATGAGAAGTGGATTTATTTTTTAGATTCTACCTTTCCGAGTTTAGGCCATGGAGAAGAAATTATTGTAGTCAGTTTTACTTGCTTTTCTGTGTACGCATTAGCATTTGCATCATTGAGATCTTTATCATCCTCGTCATCATTGTTTTCATTGCAAAAGTCCACCAAGCAGTTCAGGAGAACACAACGAACCTTGGAACAGAAGCCTGTGTGCTTACGTCAGCCTGAACATTTACCAAGTGTGTGGCAGCGGATGGGTCATTTGGTGTGCGCGCTATCTGTTTCCTTACTGATAAAATAAAGAGAATAATAATCCCTATCTTAACCTGTATATTGTAAGAGTCAGTTGGGAAGTGCATGTGAACATGCTTTGTAAGCTATAAAGTCGTATAGAATGAAAGGGATGATTATTATCTGTATGCCCAACCCCCCGCCCCGACATTTACCAAGGCCTAAACATACATACCACATTCTTGGCAACATGCTTGACATGTTAGAGTAAAGATACATGACAGGAAATTTTCAGTCTTTTTCTTAGTTTGAGAAATGGGAAGATTTCTGTTGATTAGAAATTAATACTACAAAGTGAAAAGGAGAGTGTGTAGTTTGAACATAGAAGATTATACATATTTGAATATGGCCTCACTGAACTCAATATCATGAGTACAATTTCATTGAAAAATGAGATATTTACATAATCTCAAGGAATATCATCACAAAATATTTATTAATTTTGAAAGGAAAAAGAGTAACTTTATAATGGAGAAAGCTTGCAGACACTAACTTACTTAAGTGATCAAAGTTAGCATCATTGGTGATGGGGAAAATCAGCATCATGTATACTATCTGAAAGGATGCAAAGTGAGGAACATAGGGTAGCTTCTGGATTTTCCTGCCGAAAATCACAACCTGAATATAATCATTAAGGAACGTCAGACAAACTCAAATTAAA